TTCCAGCGTGGCCTTCATTGGGATCCTGCCTGGACATGCCAAGCCTGGGTGATAAATCAGCCCGGGCCGCTCGAAGGACTCCGTGCCCTGGGGGGGGGGAGGAGGAGGAGGAGGAGGAGGAGGAGAAGGAAAAGCCTCCTCAGGATGCTCGATATTATCAAGTGCTAATGAGACCTGGATGGGGCTGAGGTGCTTTGCAGGCCATTATCCCAAATTAACCTGACAATGAAGCGCGGGAGCGGTGTCTGAAGGGCGGCCGGGGTGTGTATTGACTGTCTGGAACCGGGAGAGAGGAGGAGGCGGACGTGCCCTGCCTCCCCCCTGGAGCATAAACCAAGAATCTTGTGTTTTCCAGGGGTAGTTTTCCATTGCATTAACACGGAAATATGGAATGGTTTGGGTTGGAAGGGACCTTAATGGTTATCCAGTTCCACCCCCTGCCATGGCCAGGGACACCTTCCACTAGCCCAGGTCGCTCCAAGCCCTGTCCAGCCTGGCCTTGGACATGTTGAATCAGCTCCTGGAGAGGTTTGACAAGCAGGAGACAAAATGAGGTGACAGGGATGGAGAGAATGGGGACGGTCTCCTCTGCAGGCCAGCGTTCGGGATAACATCCCTCCAGGAAATTCTTATGTTCCAAGTTGTCCTGTTCATCCCAGGCTCCTGCTGACACTGGGCTCTCGCAGGGGGGACGTCTGAGGGTGGCCTTGCTCTTGTCACCTGCAGCCAGGGCTCCCCTTGCTCTACAACACCTTCAGAGTGCAGGGTGGTGCCACCCCTCCTGTCCTCATCCCAGTTTGGGGCTGTCGGTGGGACCCTGCGAGGTGCCAAGGATCCAGAAGGCAACTTGGATCCCCCAGCAGACAGGACAGACAGGGTTTTCCAAGAAAAATGGACACCAGCACCTTGCTCTGGAGCTCCCAGAAGCCCCTTGAGACCTGGCTGAAGGCGGGATAGCCAAGGCAGGGTGGCACCTTGGCACCCACTTCCAGGTGTTCCCGGCGCAAAGGGAACCCACAGGAATTACCGGTAGCCAAAAAAATTTCTCTTTTCAAGGAATGTGAACATATACCCATCATCCTGCTTGGACAAACCCCACGCTCCTCTTTTCACTGATGAATCCCCGTTCCCCTCTCCCTGGAGGATTCGGTGGGGTCCACCTTGGAAAGGGGCAAATCAGCAGCTCGAGGAGCCACACGATTCGAGGACATCCCTAATTGCCTATTACTGATTTATGGATTATTATTTATTACTATGGATTATTATTTATTATCACTATGATTATTTATTATTGCTATGGATTATCACAGCAGAAACGGCTGCAAAAACACGACACAAGGCTAAAAGCTAAATTTAGTGTTCAGAATCCCATTTTTAAGCGAATTTTTATTGTTTTAAGAATAAAAGACGCGAGCTCATGATTTCAACCTCCTCGGGTTGGCGGTGCTGGGCTTGTTATCCTAATGACCGCCAGCACACGCCTGTCTAATCACCGCCAGGAGCCCCTGGATAGGATGCTCCCGGATCCAGGAGGACTCACCCCGCGGGATTAGGGATGCACCAAATCCCCGTCACGTTTTCGCGTGTGCTCGCGGCGGGTTTTTTGGGGGGGGGGGAAGTTTCCGCCCCCGCTGGGCCGGTTTTGCGGCTGGAAGAAGGGATGGAAATGGAGCCGGGCTCTCTCCCCAGCGACGGGGAGGCGAGGTGCGAAATTTCTCATGGGCGAACAAGGGAGAGCCGCGGGGTGCCCAGGGAAGGGGGGACAGAAAAGATGAAGGGGGCAGCGACGACGAGGAGGAGGAGGAGGAGGAGGGAAAGAAGCAGCCAGGGAGGAACAAAAATCCCTAAAGCACCAACCTGGCTTGAAGAGCGGCGCGTTTTCTATGGGGGGATTGTAAAATGCGCTCTCTCTTTCCCCTTGGCAGGGGGGAGAAGGGCCCCCCCCTCTATCTGATAGTCATTAGCATCAATTAGCCCCGTTTGAAGTGGGCAACATCTTTGTCTCTTCGCGAAAAAAAGAAATAAAAAAACCTTTCAGGGAGCCCATAATAACATCTGGAGCGAGGGGAGGCTGAACTCAAGTTCCCCACTTTCATCTCTTGTCGAGGGACTTGGAATGTTAATGCAGCCTCATTCTTTAATGGAGTTATCAGGAAATGCTTTTCACCTCCTTCCCTTTGCTCAGGGGGGATGTTTACAAAGGGCTGGGGGCTTTTTTGGGGGGCTTTTTGGGTTGTTGTTCTGTTGTTGGGTTTTTTTTGTTTTTTTTTTTTACCCCTTCCCTAAGAAACTCCTCCCCTGCCCACCACCTTCCCCTTTTATTTTCTACGCGCTCGAAAACCAAAACTGGAATAAAATAAAATTAAGAGAATATAGTGAATTAAAAAAAAAATAAAATGGAATAATTAAAATAAAATAACCGCTTAAAAAAGAAAAAATAAAAGGATCAGATCCCATCCTTTCATCTCTTTCATCTCTCCACCTCGGAGGGGCTGGAGCTGCTGTGGGTGGTGGTGGGGGGGTGTCTGCTACTGGGTGCTACATTTCCCAAGTCATTACCAGCGAGTGAAAATTTCCAGCTTTCCAACCAAAATGCATTAGCTGAGCACACAGTACTAATGGGAAACAGGACGCTGTCATTAGGCAGCGGATTTGGCCGAGCGGGAGGAGAAGGCGAAAGGGAAAAGTCAGCCCGCGGTTCTGCTCCTTGTGCATCCCGGCGGCTCCCGGTCCCTCCATCCTGGATCATCACCCCACAGCTCTCCCACGCCAACAGCCTGAACGCGGATCTGCTCCTTTAATAACTGGAGCAGCTCCGACATCACTTCTCCCGGGAATCACGGTCGTTGCTTATTATAATTTATTTAACAACCTTTTAATAAAACAACCCGAACCTCTCGTCTAATGACACCCATGTTCAATCCCACACTCCCCCCGTGCCAGCAAAGCCGGGAGCTGGGAATTTCCATGGATTTTTTTTTTTTTT